GGCGTTTCTCCTAGAGGCTCTGCCTCTGGGTGGCAGCCTGGGCTTCGAGCTGGCGGCGGGAAGCGTGTGTGACTGTGTCAGGGGCTGCGCCGTCCGTCTTTGGGTGGCTCTGAACCGGCCAGGCCGGACGGTTGTCACCACCCGCCCGACTGGAGTAGCCGCCGTCCGTCCTCGTCCGCAGATGATTGGTGCCGTGCTCCTCGGTGGACGCCTCTGCCTGTTCGCCCTCAGAGCCCCTAGCGACGTCGCTGGCCCGTCTCCTCGACCCTTTCCCCGAGCGCTCTGCTTTGCTTCTTGCTTGCCGTTTCCTCATCTCCTCCTGTGCTCCCCTCCTCGTTCTGGAGCCTGCTGGCCCTGCTCTCGCTTTCCATCCAGCGTCTTTCGCCTCTGTCTTCTCTCTCTGCTCCGGCCACGGGCCGAAGCGGCCTGGGAGAGATGCTTTCGATGTGGCATTCTCCAAGTCGGAAGTCTCCGCCTCGACCCAAGGCCGTTCAGCAAGGGGTTAGGATAAGAAACTTCGGCTTGCTTGTCACTGCACCCGGTCACCCGGTCAGGGCTAGACTCTGTCGCTCTTGCCCAGCTCTTGCCCAGGGAGGGGGGTCGGGTGGTGGCGGGGGTAAGGTGAGCCTGTCTCAGAGGAGCAGAAAGACAGTGCCGTCCAGCCGGGGTGACTCCCACCTCCCAGCCTCCCAGCTGCCCCGCCTGCCCCGTGTTGACTGGGAGCTGTGCAGCCTCCCCGGGTGAACTGCCCCAAGCTGTGGCGTGACCCAGTTTTTCCACTTGCCACACCCCATCCTGTCCCTTTCCCAAGTCTCCTCTGGATCTCAGCAAGTGCATGGTGGGAGTCGCTCTTGATGGAAGGGCGTCCCCTTGGCCTCCATGGGTTTGTCCTTGTCTCCACTTCCAACTTCCGTGGGTGGTGAAGAGGAAGAACTGAGGTGGAGCTGATTGGGGGATGTCTTGGGATTGCCAAGGGAAGCGCAGAAGACCATGCTGGTGGGACCCAGGCTGGTATTCCCTTCCCAAGGGGACGGGAGGGGCTTTTTTGTGCCTGCTCTGATCCCAGGCTGGGTGGGGAGGGGGAAAGGCTGATGGTGCTTTGTCCACCTAAGTCTCAGTTCCCTCCTGTCGGCTAGCTCGGGAAGGGCGGAGCCAAGACACTTTGGAACTCGTTCTGGGGGCCAAGAGCGGAGAGCGACTGGAGGGGTTGAAGGCCGCGCGTTGTTTCCCACCACTGTCCAGGTTCTGCCCCCTCTTTAGGGTGCAGGTGAGCTCCCCACAAGTTGTCTAGGACTCTGTCAGCGGGCGATGAGGCTGAGCCTGGGGGCTTCTTGAGGCTTCTGTTCCTCAAGCGAAGTCTTTTTGGGGCTCAGAAAATTGGCGAGAGTCGATCGCCGTTCCTCTGAGCCTTTGTTACATCTCAGCTCTGATACTTGAAGAAATGGGTGTGATCGATGTCGCTCGTAGTATTGCCTTCATGCTTGCTTTCATTGGGCTTCCTTGCTTAGGACCCTGGAGTGGCCTCTTGTGAACCGTGTCATCCCAGAGTAGGGGTTAGAGACCCGACGGCCAGGCGATATTCGGAAAGGCTTCTGGGAGGGCAGTCTCTCCCGGCCACCTCTCTCAACTCCGCCCTCCTCCCCGCCACTTCCGGTCTGTCCTGTGTTGGCAGCTGGGTGCCCTGGGCTGGCTTCTGCGGTCAGGAGCCATTTTCCCTCTCCTCAGTGGGTGAGGCACTCCCTTCTTCTCTCCACTCCTTTCTTTGCTCCCCCACCCCAGGCGGGGGTGGCTTGGGGAGAGGGGGAGGGGGAGGCAGTCGGGAGCCGGTGTGGATGTCTGTCACAAAGGAGGCTGCCTCCTGGCCTTCTCCCCCTCTGTGCCCCTTCCCACCTATCCTTGCCCAGGAGCTTTCAGTATTACCCCAGGCTTTGTGTGTGCTTCCAGCCAGGGCGGAGGTGGAGCCAGATGGGAGGAGGACTGCTGGGGGGGCTGGTGACAGCTGGGCTGATTTGGGCCTCTAGGGAGAAGAGGCTGCTGACCCGGGAGAAGCGAGGGAGGAACTTGAGGGCTGGAGATGGGGAAAGGAAGTTGTGTTTTGGGAGTGGGTGTGAGACTGGGCTGGCAACGGAACCTGGGACTTGGGCTCTGGTTGTCTTGGGCAGCGGTGACCCCAGAGGGTTAGAAAAGGGTGTTATTTCTGGGCCCCCTAGGCTGGTGTTTTTTTCTGGGAACGTGCTGAGGGTGTATCAAATAGTTTCTGGCTTCTGGGTAGGGCCTTTCGTTTTTGTTCCCTGGTTGATGGAATACTTGATGGTCAGTTATGGGAGCGTAGACCTGGTTCTCTTAGTGAACTCTAAAGTAGCTTGATTTAGCTGTGCTGGTGACCATCAAGAGACTGCTGGCCAGAGTGGGAGAGAGGCAGGGGTCTGGACAGTTGCCCGAGGTGGACCTGGGCTGACTTGGTAGGCCTATTTCAGGCATATACAGCTCTCTCTTTGTCTGTTTTTGTCTTGGGTATCAGCTTCCCTCTGTGGAGAGTATAGCAGTTCTCTTCAGAGGAATCTGGGACAAGAGGTGGCGAATAAAGTCTGAAGCCTCTGGATTCGGTCCTAACCTTTGCTATTGATCTTTTTCTGCCTACTCCTCTTTGCCAAATATGTGTAGAAAACGAAGAGGACCCAGAGGAAGACCTGTCGGAAACAGAGACTCCAAAACTGAAGAAGAAGAAAAAGCCTAAAAAGCCTCGGGACCCAAAGATTCCTAAGAGCAAGCGCCAAAAGAAGGAGGTGAGTGGGTGACTGAGTGCTGTGGGGAGTCAGGAAGGGGGAAGAGTTCGGAGAAGGGTCCGGGGCTGAAGGCGTTTGCTCCTGTCTCTGGAATGGGCCGGTCTGGGGGTGAGCCTCAGGGCTGGCCTGAGGTCAGCGTGTGTGTAGCATGTGTGTGTCTGTCTCCCTCTCCCCCTTCCTGGCTCCAGCGTTTGCTCTTGTGCCGGCAGCTGGGGGACAGCTCTGGGGAGGGGCCGGAGTTTGTGGAGGAGGAAGAAGAGGTGGCGCTGCGCTCAGACAGTGAGGGGAGCGACTACACCCCTGGCAAGAAGAAGAAAAAGAAGCTGGGACCCAAGAAGGAGAAGAAGAGCAAGTCCAAGCGGAAGGAGGAGGAGGAGGAAGACGAGGACGACGACGACTCAAAGGTGCCCGGGCCTCGTGGCCGTCCCTGGTCCCTGCTCCGTGGCGTCTGTCCTTGCTTCCCAGGCACTCTCCGGCCTCTGAGAACGCTTTCTCTCTGCCGATTTCCGGCTTTCCTCCGCTGAGCTCTCTTACCCTGGTCTTGCAAGCTGTAGGCTGCTCAGATTCGCTTACTAGGCGTGGGCACGGGACGGCAGGTCCTTGACTTTGCTCTCCTCGCAGGAGCCTAAGTCGTCTGCTCAGCTTCTGGAAGACTGGGGCATGGAAGACATTGACCATGTGTTCTCAGAGGAGGATTATCGCACCCTCACCAACTACAAGGCCTTCAGCCAGTTTGTCCGGTATACCAGGAGGGTCTTGGGGAAGGGGGAGGAGAGTCATTTTAGTCTCTGTCCTTCTTTCTTTTTCTGATTACATTTTTTTTTTTTTTTGAGTTGGAGTCTCACTCTGTTACCCAGGCTGGAGGGCAGTGGCACGCTCCCGGCCACTGCAGCCTCGACCTATTGGGCTCCAGTGATCCTTCCGCCTCAGCCTTCCAAGTAGCCGGAATTACAGGCGCGTGCTACCACGCCTGGCTAATTTTTTTGATTTATTGTAGAGATGAGGTCTCGTCAAGTTGCCCAGGTGGGTCTCGAACCCGCGGGCTCAGGCAATCCACTCACCTCAGCCTCCCAAAGCGCGGATTACAGGCTGAGCCACCAAACCCAGCTCTGATTTCTTTTTTGAGTCAGGGTCTCACTCTGTCGCCCAGGTTGGAGTGCAGTGGCATGTTCATGGCTACTGCAGCCTCAACCTGCTGGATTTGGGCCATCCTTCCAGTTCAGCCTTCCCAGTAGCTGGAACTACAGGGACGCACCACCATGCCCGGCTACATTTTTTGACTTATTATAGAGACAAGGTCTCGCCTTAATGCCCAGGTGGGTTTTGAACCTGTGGGCTCAGGCAGTCCTCTCACCTCCGCCTCCCAAAGTGCTGGGATTACAGGCGTGAGCCACCATGCCCAATTCTTTCTTATTTTTAGGTTGGAAAATATAGTTTATTTAGAAAGGAAATGAGAGAAAGGAGATTCACCTCCCCAAGGTAGGGGAGGGGGTCGAAGTGAGGAAACGTGGGTGCTGTAGCTCAAAGAACTGAGTCCAGAGTTCAGCAAAGCAGTGGCCTCTCTTCTTTATTTTTAGACGTTTCTCCCTCTCTGTTCTTGCTCGTTTCTCCGCCAGACCCCTCATTGCTGCCAAAAACCCCAAGATTGCCGTCTCCAAGATGATGATGGTTTTGGGTGCAAAGTGGCGGGAGTTCAGCACCAACAACCCCTTCAAAGGCAGTTCTGGGGCCTCCGTGGCGGCGGCCGCAGCAGCAGCGGTGGCTGTGGTGGAGAGCATGGTGACGGCCACTGAGGCTGCGCCGCCCCCTCCCCCCGTGGAGGTGCCTGTCCGCAAGGCCAAGACCAAGGAGGGCAAAGGTAGAGCGGGGAGACACATGGGGGAGGGTCTGGTGTGGGCTCAGGCAAGGGCAGAGCGAACCTGAGCGTGCTGTTTCCGGCTCTGAGCAGGAGGTAGGAGGGAGGGATGTCCTGGATGTGGGAGGTAACTTGGGGTGTGGACATGGTGACACCAGCTTAGGTGGAGAAGACGTTCTCTTCCTCATCTCCGGCCTTGTGGTATATGTTTGGGTGCATCCTGATTCTAGGTCCCAACGCTCGGAGGAAGCCCAAGGGCAGCCCTCGCATACCTGATGCCAAGAAGCCTAAACCCAAGAAAGTGGCTCCCCTGAAAATCAAGCTGGGAGGTTTTGGTTCCAAGCGTAAGAGATCATCGGTGAGAGCCTAGCCCACCCCTTTGGGGAGGGGACTGTGACTAACAGAAAGGGTGTGGTTTGTGTGAGGGTCTGTTCTTCACAGGCGACAAGTAAGAATGTGGGAGGTTGGCCACAGAACAGGGCTCCCTGTAACAGTGGTGCTGGGATTCTGGTAACCCCAGTGAGTGAGGGTCCCTCTCCATCACCCTCCTTCCCCTTGGCTGGAACTTCTGATCTTCCTCCTCTTCATCCTGCCAGAGTGAGGATGATGACCTAGACGTGGAGTCTGACTTCGATGATGCCAGTATCAACAGCTATTCTGTTTCTGATGGTTCCACCAGCCGTAGTAGCCGCAGCCGCAAGAAACTCCGAACCACTAAGAAGAAGAAGAAAGGTGTGTTTCTCTTCTGTGTCGGTGTGGGTTGGAATGGGCGGGCATGACAGGAAGAATCTCCCTAAGGAGATGGGGTGGGGGGAGGTGGTTTTGTTCTAATAACTGGGCTTTCCCTCTTCCTTGCCCAGGCGAGGAGGAGGTGACTGCTGTGGATGGTTATGAGACAGACCACCAGGACTATTGCGAGGTGTGCCAGCAAGGCGGCGAGATCATCCTGTGTGACACCTGTCCCCGCGCCTACCACATGGTCTGCCTGGACCCGGATATGGAGAAGGCTCCCGAGGGCAAGTGGAGCTGCCCGCATTGCGTGAGTGTCTGACCACTGTGCCCCCCCCGGGGACCCACGTGAGAGCGGACAGGGCGGCAGCTCTTTGGAGCCTGTGTGGAGGGAGGAGTGGTGTGGGTTCAGACACGGGTGGGCGGGTGGGGGAGGTGATAATCTGAATCCTTGGTCCTTTACTAGGAGAAGGAGGGCATCCAGTGGGAGGCCAAGGAGGACAACTCGGAGGGCGAGGAGATCCTGGAAGAAGTTGGCGGCGACCCTGAGGAGGAGGACGACCACCACATGGAATTCTGCCGGGTCTGCAAGGATGGCGGGGAGCTGCTCTGCTGTGACACTTGTCCTTCTTCCTACCACATCCACTGCTTGAACCCCCCACTTCCAGAGATCCCCAATGGCGAATGGCTCTGTCCCCGCTGCACGGTGAGTGACCGTTCTCGGCCAGGGCAGGAGATGTGGAAAGTGTAGTCAACAGAAGGGTTGACCACCTTGATATGTAGCCATTGTGAGGCAGAGGTGCAGGAGAGGTCATTGGAAAACTGGACTTTTTAGCCCTGAGATGGGTGTTTTCGTACTCATGAATTAATAGTTTTGGGATACTCTTGTCCTGAGAAAACGTGGGACTGACTTCAAACAGAGGAGTCGATGTTTTGCCAGCTCTAAGAAGAGATGGAGCAGTGTTTTTCTAGTCAAGAACATTTGTCCCTGTCTGGATACCCTGTCTTAGGGTCTTGGTAGCTTAGAATGTTTCATAGGGCCACTTACTGCTTTTAGATTGGTTAAGAGAGGAGTTCTGGGCGCTGAGTCTTTGGGTTTTCGGTGCCTATTTGTTCTGGGTTATTGTTAAGGCATGGCTGCCAGTCCTGTTAAGCAGATAGGAGTGATAGTGTCACACATCTCTTGGAGAAACTTCTGTCACAGGTTGAGCATACCTAATTCAAACCTCTGAAGTCCCAAACACTTCTGGTCCCAGGCACTTCAGATAAGGACTCCTTAACCTATTAAGTTGACTCAAAAGTAATGGTGCTTTTTACATTGTTGGAATTGGCCGTTTGATACTGGAATACGTTCTTAAATAAATAAATAAATAAATGTGTTTTGTTATACAGCATCTTAATGCGCATTTCTTTATTTTATTTTTTTTTGCTAACGACGTATTACTTGCTGTTTATATGTGTTTTAGACTATGGAAATGATGTTAGACAAAAAGCAAATTTGGGCGATTTTCTTACTCGAGTTCAAAATGGGTTGTAAAGCAGCAGAGACAACTCGCAATGTCAACAATGCATCCAGCCCAGGAGCTGCCAAGGCATGGACAGTGCAGTGGTGGTTTGAGAATTTGTGCAGAGGAGACGAGAGCCTTGAAGAGGAGCGTGTGGCCAGCCATTGGAAGTGACAATCCTTTGAGAGCGATCACTGAAGCTGACCCTCTCGTAACTGCAGGAGAAGTTGCAGAAGAACTCAGCGTCGACCGTTCGGTGGTCATTCGGCATTTGAAGCGAATTGTAAGGTGAAAAAGCGTGATAGTGGGTGCCTCGCGAGTGGACCCGAGGACCCGAAATCAAAAACATCGTTTCGAAGTGTCGTCTTCTATTCGGCGCAACGACGACGAACCGTTTCTCGATGGGATAGTGACGTGTGGTGAGAAGTGGATTGTGTGTGACAGCTGGCAACGACCAGCTCAGTGGTCGGACAAAGACGAAGCTCCAGAGCCTAGAGCACTTCCCAGAGCCAAACTTGCACCCAAAAAGGACATGGTCACTGTCTGGTGGTTAGCTGCCTGTCGATCCACCATAGCTTCCTGAATCCTGGCGAAACGGTTGTATCTGGGAAGTACGCTCAGCAAATCGATGTGATGCACCAAAAACTGCAACACCTGCGGCCAGTGTTGGTCAACAGAAAGGGCCCAGTTCTCCATGACAACACCCGACTGCACTTTGCTTCACCAGTGCATCAAAAGATGAACAAATTGGGCTGTGAGATTTTGTCTCATCCGCCATATTCTCCTGACCTCTTGCCGATTGACTGCCACTTCTTCAAGCATCTCGACAACTTTTTGCAGGGAAAATGCTTCCACAACCAGCAGGGTGCAGAAAACGCTTTCCAAGAGTTCGTCAAATCCCGAAGCATGGATATTTATACTACGAGAATAAACACTTCTCGTTGGCAAAAATGTGTTGATTGTAATGGCTCCTATTTAGATGAATAAAGATGTGTTTGAGCCTAGTTATAATGACTTAAAATTCACTGTCCGAATTAATTTTGCACCAACCTAATATATTCTCTTCCTAGAGGTGTCCTGGGATCGATCTTGCTTGAAACGCGGTCTTGACATCCTTTGACAGAGTTGAGGCTGGGACTGTCCCAGCTCCTCCAATGGTTAGGACTCGGAATGAGGTCGTTTCTTTTTCTCTTAGTGTCCAGCTCTGAAGGGCAAGGTGCAGAAGATCCTGATCTGGAAGTGGGGTCAGCCGCCGTCTCCTACACCAGTGCCTCGACCGCCGGATGCTGATCCAAACACTCCCTCCCCCAAGCCCTTGGAGGGGCGGCCAGAGCGACAGTTCTTTGTGAAGTGGCAAGGCATGTCTTACTGGCACTGCTCCTGGGTGTCTGAACTGCAGGTACGTCTGGGGCGGAGTGAAGTGGGGCTACCATGAGGGGACTGGTGAGAGCCTGACCTGTGGACAGAAGGAGGAATGTAGCTTCTTGGTGGCTGATTTTCTGCTTGTAGCTGGAGCTGCACTGTCAGGTGATGTTCCGAAACTATCAGCGGAAAAACGATATGGACGAGCCACCTTCTGGAGACTTTGGTGGTGATGAAGAGAAGAGTCGAAAGCGAAAGAACAAGGACCCGAAGTTCGCAGAGATGGAGGAACGCTTTTACCGCTACGGGATAAAACCTGAGTGGATGATGATCCACCGAATCCTCAACCACAGGTACCAGCGGGTGTGCTGGAGCGGGTGCGGCGCCTCTGGCAGGGTCCTGCTGAAGGGACTAGGAGAGTAGACATCAGCGGTAACTTAACGCTTGGAAGGCACTCCGTGTTGTGGTTAACTGACTGAATCCTGGTGTTTGCGCTACAGAGAGTATGGGGTAGAGAGACCTTTTGGTCCACAGCTGGTTTAGTAGAGGCTCTGACCCGTGGGGTCTGTGGCATACCTAGAGGTCTCGCGTAGAGCATACGTCACTGACGGTTTCCGAGAGCAAAGCTGACATAGGGTGAGGAGGCTTGCTTTCTGGCTCTGAGGACTTTTGTCTCCTCGGCCTCGCAGTGTGGACAAGAAGGGCCATGTCCACTACTTGATCAAGTGGCGGGACTTACCCTACGATCAGGCATCCTGGGAGAGCGAGGACGTGGAGATACAGGATTACGACCTGTTCAAGCAGAGCTATTGGAACCACAGGTGAGTGACTGGGCGTGGGAGCAGAGCTGCTGCTTGGGGAAAGGGCCTTGGGCCGCTGTGTGACGTCTGTCGTCTCCAGGGAGCTGATGAGGGGCGAGGAGGGACGACCCGGCAAGAAGCTCAAGAAGGTGAAGCTGAGGAAGTTGGAGAGGCCGCCCGAGACGCCAACAGTTGACGTGAGTTGGGCCGGAGGAGGAAGGGCAGGGTGTGTGGGACAGAGCGTGGCGTCTCGACCACCACAGTCCCCCTCGGGCTCAGAGTGGCTATCGGCAGACAGCGCGCGTAGCCGGAGCTGCCTCTTCCGGTGCTCTTCTCGCCCCCACATTTCGGTAAACCAGGAAGCTCCGGGAATGCTTGTTCGTTTGTCATTCGGGAAGACCGAGGAGGTATGCTTTGTGTGATGGGCAAGTGCTGCTTAGGGGTCACACAACCAAGCTTTTTGAAACTTTCACTGGTGCCTGGGACCTCTGACTCTTTTTTTTTTTTGAGTTGGAGTCTCACTCCGTTGCCCTGACTGGAGTGCAGTAGCCGCTCCCGGCCACCGCAGCCTCAACCTGCTGGACTCCGGTGATCCTTCCACCTCAGCCTGCCAAGTAGCTGGAACTACAGGCGTGCGCTACCATGCCCGGCTGATTTTTTATTTATTGTAGAGATGAGGTCTCACTAAGTTTCCCAGGCGGGTCTCGAACCCGCCGGCTCAGGCAGTCCACTCACCTCAGCCTCTCAAAGGCGCGGGATTACAGACTGAGCCACCAAGCCCGGCTGACCTCTGACTCTTAACCCATGGCTCAGTTTCTCTGTGTTTTGTTTGTGCAGTATAATTTGAGGGCAGTTAGGATGAAAAGGATGCGCTGGGCTGGCTCACTCCTGTAATCCCAGCACTTTGGAAGGTGGAGGTGAGAGGATTGCCTGAGCCCCGGGGTTTGAGACCAGCTTGGGCAAGTTGACAAGACTTCGCCTCTACAATAAATAAAAAAGTTAGCCAGGCATGGTGGCATGCGCCTGTGGTTCCAGCCACTTGAAAGACTGACCTGGAAGGATTGCCTGAGCCCAGCAGGTCGAGGCTGAGGTGGCTGTGAACATGCTGTTGCACTCCAACCTGGGTCCAAAAAAAAAAAAGATGAAAAGGATTGGATGACTCTAGCGGGGACACATTTATCTGGAGGATCCTGACTAGTACAATTACTGTCTTGTTGGTCAGTCTGTGATGTGTTTTTCCCCGTCAATCTGTAACTCCAAGACCAGGTCAGCTGCTGGGTGAGTTGCCCTGCTGCCTGGAGGAGCCTAAATCAAATGCAAAACTGCAATGACCTTTGAGGATCTTTTCGCCAGAATTTTCCGTGGCTCTGTCAGGGAAGAGCTGGCGAGGGCTTGTGAGGAGGCAGCGGCAGCTGTCTTTGGGAGGAAGGGAGCTTTTTACCTGCTCTTGACTGCTCTGTGCCGTCCTTCAGCCAACAGTGAAGTATGAGCGGCAGCCAGAGTACCTGGATGCTACGGGTGGAACACTGCACCCCTATCAGATGGAGGGCTTGAACTGGCTGCGCTTCTCCTGGGCTCAGGGCACTGACACCATCTTGGCTGATGAGATGGGCCTTGGGAAAACTGTGCAGACAGCAGTCTTCCTTTACTCCCTCTATAAGGAGGTAAGGAAAGCTGGGAGCGTTTGCTTTTTTTGTGTGAGGGTATTTTGTGTGTGTAGTTTTTTCTTATACTCTGAGGATAAAGAAAAAAGGAAGAAAAAGTTGGTCCGTGACTGGGAAGAGCGCTGTTGAGTGATAGTAAGATGGCATGCACAGTGAAAGATTTGAGGGCCTGGAGCCACGGGTAGGATTAGTGATGGGTGCATAGGGCCTTAGTTCTGCGGGGAAGGTTACATGTTGAGGTCAGCAGAATTATGGATGGAGTTAGTATGCAAAGACTTAATGGAAGAGGCAAGCCTTTAAGCTCGCTTTGAAGGTGGGCCTTGACTTTCTGGAGAGAGGTGGGCAGGGCACTCACTGGCATAGAGGAAGGTAAGGGCAGAAGCGGCAGTGCAGGTGCCAGTCCACGGCGGGGTGGGGGAGGCGTGTCCGCTGGTGTTGTGTGCTGCAACCCTCAGTCTCGACTTCTCTGCTTCCTCAAAGGGTCATTCCAAAGGCCCCTTCCTAGTGAGTGCTCCTCTCTCTACCATCATCAACTGGGAGCGGGAGTTTGAAATGTGGGCTCCGGATATGTATGTGGTGACCTACGTGGGTGATAAGGACAGTCGTGCCATCATCCGGGAGAACGAATTCTCCTTTGAAGACAATGCCATTCGTGGTGGCAAGAAGGCCTCCCGCATGAAGGTATCTCAGGGGAGGGAGGTGCCACTAGAGAGGGAGTTGTGGCTTTGGGCTTAGTTTGCCTCCTTGTGACCGTGTCCCTGGGTGAGGCCAAAGGGTATTCCCGGAAGGAGGAAAAACCCCATCAGTCTCCCGGTTGTGCTTACACCAGAGAAGTTCACCAGTGCTCACCAGGTTGTCTTCATGCACAGAAAGAAGCATCTGTGAAATTCCATGTGCTGCTGACATCCTATGAGTTGATCACCATTGACATGGCTATCTTGGGTTCTATTGATTGGGCCTGCCTTATTGTGGATGAAGCCCATCGGCTGAAGAACAATCAGTCTAAGGTGAGCGGTCGTCGGGAGGGAGGTTAGAGTCTCCAGTTTTAGTTTTCTAGCACTATTTTTCTTCACTAAGGGGAGACTCCCTCTGAGGAGAGGAAAGGGAAAAATGGCCTCTGCTTTTCTTCTTCATATGTGACAGGCCTTTGTGGCCAGGCCTTTGAAAAGGACCATGATGGTGCTGGGAGACTGTTGGGCAGTGAAACAGCTCGAAATTGTACTGAGATTGGCTGGGCGTGATGGCTTAAGCCTGTAATCCCAGCACTTTGGGAGGCCAGGGTGAGAGGATTGTCTGAGCCCGTGGATTTGAGACCAGCCTGGGCAACATGGTGAGACCTTGTCTCTACAATAAATCAAAAAATTAGCTGGGCGTGGTAGTGCATGCCTGTGGTTCCAGCTACTTGGAAGGCTGAGGTGGAAGGATCGCCCGAGCTCAGCAGGCCAGCGTGCCACTGCACTCCAACCTGGGCAATAGAGTGAGACTCTGACTCAAAAGAAATAAAAAATGAAAAAAGAGATTGTGCTGAGATCTACTAGAGCCTTCTTTTCAACGAGTTCACATCTCTTTGTTTGCTTCACCAGTTCTTCCGGGTCTTGAACGGTTATTCACTGCAGCACAAGCTGTTGTTGACTGGGACTCCATTACAGAACAACCTCGAAGAGCTGTTTCATCTGCTCAACTTTCTCACCCCCGAGAGGTTCCAGTAAGTGTGTGTCTCTCCATTAGGGCTCACAGTTCCTCTGCTGCTAATTCTTCCTGCAGCCCGTTTTCCTCATCTTTCTTCCTTTCTTTTCCAACAACGGTTCCTTTCTTTCTGAAGCAATTTGGAAGGCTTTCTGGAGGAGTTTGCTGACATCGCCAAGGAGGACCAGATCAAAAAACTGCACGACATGCTGGGGCCTCACATGCTGCGGCGGCTCAAGGCTGACGTGTTCAAGAACATGCCATCCAAGACGGAGCTCATTGTGCGTGTGGAGCTCAGCCCCATGCAGAAGTGAGTTGGAAGGGCCGGAAGCCCAGGGGCTGTTTTGCCAGCGCGTTCGCAGAGTGTCGCTGGCTTCTCCCCAGTCAGCTTCAAGGCATCTGGGGGCAGAAGCAAGCAAGGCCTAGAGCAACCTGATACCAGGGAGCAGAGCTCGTAATTCTTGCCTGGCTCTGCCTTCCATTATGTAGGTTGATGGTGGTGATACTTTTGCCCGTCAGGTTTCTTTAGCCCCGGAGAGAGATGCCGGCAGAAAGCTCTCGGGCGTGGGTCTGCACCATTCGTCAGCTAGGGGTCTGAGACTCACTGGTCTCTCTGTCTTGCGCACCTGCAGGAAATACTACAAGTACATCCTCACGCGAAATTTCGAAGCGCTCAACGCTCGCGGTGGTGGCAACCAGGTCTCCCTGCTCAATGTGGTGATGGATCTCAAGAAGTGCTGCAACCACCCGTATCTCTTCCCGGTGGCGGCCATGGTATGTTGCGCCGCCTCCCGGCCCCAGGGGGAGTTCTCTGCAGGGGTTTCCGTTCGAGAGTGTTTCCTTCCTGCTGCCGTTCCCAGGAAGCCCCCAAGATGCCGAACGGCATGTACGACGGCAGCGCCCTCATCCGCGCGTCGGGGAAGCTGCTGCTGCTGCAGAAGATGCTCAGGAACCTCAAGGAGGGTGGGCACCGCGTGCTCATCTTCTCCCAGGTACGCCACCGGGTGAGGGGACGCAGGTGCGGCCCCGGCGATGCGCGGAAAGGGGCTCGGACTCCATAGCTACGCCGCGCTCCTTTTGTAGATGACCAAGATGCTGGACCTGCTGGAGGACTTCTTGGAACATGAAGGCTATAAATACGAGCGGATTGACGGCGGAATCACCGGGAACATGCGCCAGGAGGCCATCGACCGCTTCAATGGTGAGATGGCCGAGGGGCTCATCCTCTGTGTGTGCTGGGAGTGACACCGTGGTCTTCCCAGGCCTTGCTCCTGCTTCGTTCTTTTGGGGCTTTGTCTGCTGATATGAAGAGTAAAATATTGAGTGTCTCGAATGGAAGAGTGTGTCGGACCGTTCTTGGAAGGTTTTTCTTTGGGGGGTCTTTGTTCTTTCTGCTAGAAAGAAGAGTGTTTTATCTAACTCTCTTCATTGTATCTTGAGGCTAAGAGAGGGATTAGGACTTGTTCAAGCAAGTTAGTGGCAGATTGATCTGTTTCAGTAGACTGTACGGCTTTTTTTTCTTGAACTTCGTATTTGAAATAATTTCGGATTTAAAGAAAAGCCTGTAGGCCCAGCACTTTGGGAGGCAAAGGCGAGAGGATGGTCTGAGCCCTGGGGTTATAGACCAGCCTGGGTAACTTGGTGAGTCTCTACGATATATCAAAAAATTAGCCAGGTGTGGTAGCGGGCGCCTATAGTTCCAGCTACTTGGAAGGCAGAGAGGGAAGAAGGATCACCTGAGCCCAGCAGGTCAAGGCTGCAGTGGCTGTGAGTGTGCCACTGCACTCCAGCCTGGGCGACTGAGTGAGACTCCTACTCAAAAAAAAAAAAGGAAAGAAAAGTTGAAAAACAGTGCAGAGTTCACATATATCCTTCACTCAACTTCTCTTAATAATGACAATTTATACAACTGCAGTACAGATGCCAAAACCAACAAAAAAGTAACATTACAGCTCTTACATGAATGTCACCAGTTTTTCTCCTGCTGTCTTTGTTTCAGGATCCAATCTCAGATTTCACGTTGTGTTTGATTATTGTACTTCCAGCTGTCTGTGACATGTCTTCATTTTTTTCCTATTCTTGCATGATATGGATACTTTTGATGAGTACTGGTCAGTTATTTTGTAGAATACAGAATGTCTCTAAGTTTTGAGTTAGCTGATTGTTTTTGTTTTTGTTTTTGAGTCAGGGTCTCAGTTGCCCAGGCTGGAGTGTAGTGACATAATCCTGGCTCACCACAGCCTTGGCCTCCTGGGCTTAGGCAATCCTTTCATCTCAGCCTCCTGAGTAGCTGGAACTACAGGCATGCACCACCACGCCCCACTAATTTTTCAACTTTTTTGTAGAGTCGAGTCTTGCTGTGTTACCCAGGCTGGCCTCAAACTCCTGGGCTCAGGCAGTCCTCCTGCCTTGGTTGCCCAGAGTGCTGGACTACAGGCATGAGCCGCTTCATCCTGCCAATGGTTTCTTTTGATTAGATTATACGTTTGGGGTGAGGATGCCAGAGAGATGAAGGTGTGTCTTTTGTTGTCACGCGTTGGGGGATGGACATGGTGTTCCTCTGCCCCATCCTGGCAAGGACTTCATCACTTGGTTAAGGTGGAGTCTGCCGAATTCCTCCACTGTAAGGTTATTCTTTCTCACACTGTGATTAGTGAATGTCTGAGGGAGATATTTGAGCCTGTGTTAATATCCTCTTTCTCCTTAACACTGATTTCAGCTTCCTTTGGTGGGCCTCGCTTGCAACAGTTACTATTGTGGTGTTTGCCTAATGAGGTTTTCTGTCTCAGACGTTTCTTCTACATTCATTAATTGGAATTCAGGAGACGCCTCTCACTGTGTTTTGGTTTCTTTATCAGCACCGGGTGCACAACAGTTCTGCTTCTTGCTTTCCACTCGAGCTGGGGGCCTTGGGATCAATTTGGCCACTGCTGACACCGTGATTATCTATGATTCTGACTGGAACCCCCACAATGACATCCAGGTGAGCAAAGGCAGCAGCTGTAGATACAGGGTCTTGCGAGAAAGGCACAGGGGGCTTCACCATGTGGAATTAGTTGTCTACGTGAGAAACAACAGATTCTCTTTATGTTATTTACCTCATTTTTAGCCAGAGTTTGGGTGACCTGTGATCCTATTTTGGTTAATGTGATAGAGTGGGTTCTGGGAGAGGGATGCTGACGGGGTCTTGGCCTTGTACTGGACTTAGTACGTGGAAGTCACGGCAAGCATGGCAGCCAGAAAATAGGGGTTGTGGCTTTATTTCTTGCTCAACTCCAGGCCTTCAGCAGAGCTCACCGTATTGGGCAAAATAAGAAGGTGATGATCTACCGGTTTGTGACCCGTGCGTCAGTGGAGGAGCGCATCACGCAGGTGGCAAAGAAGAAGATGATGTTGACGCACCTAGTGGTGCGGCCTGGGCTTGGCTCCAAGACTGGGTCTATGTCCAAGCAGGAGCTTGATGATATTCTCAAATTTGGCACTGAGGAGCTGTTCAAAGATGAGGCCACAGATGGAGGTGAGCTGTGAGGAACTTGGGTCTTGCTGTGGGACTTGGGTAGGGAGCATCTCTGATGGCAAGGGTCCCCCTCTGGGCTTACTTTCTCCATAGTGGCTGCTAAAGCTGACTGGGGTGTGGGCCTCTCATTCCTTATAGGGGGAGACAACAAAGAGGGCGAAGACAGCAGCGTTATCCACTATGATGACAAGGCCATTGAGCGGCTGCTGGACCGTAACCAGGATGAGACTGAAGACACAGAGCTGCAGGGCATGAATGAATATCTGAGCTCATTTAAAGTGGCCCAGTATGTGGTGCGGGAAGAAGAAATGGGGGTGAGTATGAATCCAAGACAGGCAACTGTGGACTTGGTGGTCAGTCTGAGAATTGGAATTGAGACCAAGGTGGTGTTGGAGGCGAGCGGAAAACAGCTATGGGCCGGGAGGTATGCTGATGAACTGATAGGCTCTTTCCCTGGAACACAAAGTTTGCCTTGACTGTCAGGACACTTCCAGCCAAATATTGCCCCACAACAGAGAAAATCCAATTTTTCTTACGTGTTTTGTTAGCCCTACAGATTTTTGAATGCTACCTCAGATCTCTTTGGAGAAAAGGCAAGAGATATGAGACATACCTAGATAATCTGTCTCCCTGTGTTTTTGTTTTGTTGTAATTTAAAGAGACAGGGTCTCACTCTGTCTCCCAGACTGGAGTGCAGTGGTGTGATCATAACTGACTGCAGCTTTGAACTCCTGGGCTCAAGTAGTCCTCCTGCCTAATCCTCCCGAGTAGCTAGGACTACAGGTGTGTACCACCATGCCTGGCCGTTTCTGTTTTTTGTAGAGACGGGCTTGCTATGTTACCCAGGCTGGTCCCTGTGTTTTTTGAAAGCCTGGAATTGTTGTTTCCCTTTTTCTTTCCTCCTCCTCCTTGGTTTTTATAGTAAAAAAAAAAAAATACTAAAACAGAAATATGTGGCTTGTTATATTTTTCTCCCCTAAATGATATAAAGGAGTATGAGATGAAAAATAAAATTAAAATTAGCTTTTTTTTCTGTTTGCTTTCAAACCACTCAACTCAACGTGCTTTGCATCCATATAGGTTCTGGTAGCATTGGCCATCTTTTCTCACTCTTCCAACTCAAACTTGTTTCTCTTGCTGTGTTTTTCTTTTCTTCCTTTTTTTAGACAGCAGGATTTATTGAGAGGACAGAAAAGCTCCCACAGTGGGAGAGGACCCAAGGGGGTTGCCTGCTGTGTTTGTCTCACACCTGTCATCTTGTTCACGAGGACAATGCTGCCAACCTCAGTTTATGTGTAACTGTGGTTGAAGAGGCTGACGTAGGTCTGCAGACGAGTAGTCTTCAATCAAAAGCCACCCTGCTGACAGGGTGCTCATGTTCCTCTCGGTAGCAGAGCAGTAGTCTGGGATAGCATGTGCCTGAGGGACTCATCTCTGCTACACAAGTACACAGGGTGTTCTCAGGCCGGGTGCGGTGGCTCACGCCTATAATCCCAGCACTTAGGGAGGTGGAGGTGAGAGGATTGCCTGCATCCAGGGGTTCAAGACCAGCCTCAATAGCTTGGCGAGACCACATCTCTACAATAAATCAAAACATTAGCTGGGTGTGGTGGCATGCCCTGGTGGTTCCAGCTACCTGGAAGTCTGAGGTGTAAGGATTGCCTGAGCCCAATAGGTCGAGGCTGCAATGGTCATGAACGTGCCACTGCACTCCAGCCTGGGTGACAATGAGACTCTGATTCCAAAAAAAAAGTTATTCTCTGATAGTGACTGCAGCTACTATTAACTTTGCATATATTTTTAGGTGTTGTTTTTTGAGCAGATAGTAATTTATGTGGTTCACAATACACACAGGAATGTCTTTCCCTTCTGTCCTCTTCTAAGCCTGCTTCCCTTCCTGGGGACACTAGTGTTTTCACTCTCGTATATCTTTCCAAAAATGTTTTGTGTGCATACTGGTTATTTGTGTAGTCATACACATAGGTGTACATACATATACATATGCACACAGATAACATTTTTCTGTTAAACACTAAAACAACATGTGATGTTCCCTGCCTTGCTTTTGTCCATTTGATCTTGGAGCTGTAGTCCAAACCAGAAAATAAAGAGCCTCCCCCTGACTTTTGCTGCATGACATGTCCTTATTTGCCCCTTGGTGTCTATGGGGAATTGGTTTCAGGTCCTCCCACGAGTCCACCACCCAAGGATGCTCACGTCTCAGTGTAAAACGGCATAGTGCGGCTAGGCACAGTGGCTCACATCTGTGATCCCAGCACTTTGGGAGGCTGAGGCAGGAGAATCGCTTGGGCTCAGGAGTTCGAGACCAGCCTGGACAACATACACTGTGTCTCTTCAGAAAGAAAACAGGCCAGGCTTGGTGGCTCAGCCTGTAATCCCGCACATTGGGAGGTTGAGGTGAGTGAATTGCCTGAGCCTGCGGGTTTGAGACCCGCTCGTGCAACTTGGCGAGACCTCATCTCTACAATAAAAATCAAAAAAATTAGCCAGGTGTGGTAGCGCGCGCCTGTAGTTCCAGCTACTTGGAAGGCTGAGGCGGAAGGATCGCTGAAGCCCAGCAGGTTGAGGCTGCGGTGGCCGGGAGCGGCCATTGCACTCCAGTCTGGGCGACTGAGTGAGACTCCCAACTCAAAAAACAAAAAAGTAAAACAAAAAAAATTAGCTGAGTGTGATATCATCTGTCTATAGTCCTAGCTGCTTAGGAGGCTTAGGAGGAAGGATCACCTGAGCCTGTGAGGTGGAAGCCGAGGTGAGCCATGGCTGTCCCACTGCACTCCAGCCTGGGCAACAGAGACCAACTCAAACAAAAAAGTGATAGTATTTGTATATAACCCATGCAGATCCTCTTGTTTCGGGCAAGTTATCTCTAGATTATTTACAATACCTAAAGCTATGTAAATAATTATTGCACTGTATTTTTTAGGAAATAATTACAAGAAAAATGCCTGTATATGTTCAGTGCAGACAATTCCGTTTTTTCCCTGGGTATTTTCAGTTTTCAGATGATTGAATTCACAGGTGCAAAACTGATGGATACAGAGGGCTGACTTTACTGTGAATTAATTAGTACTATAATGCTGGATATTGAGGTGGTTTTTGCTATTTTTTTATGAGTTGGAGTTTCACTCTGTTGACCAGGCTGGAAGGCAGTGGCACTCTCCCAGCCACCACAGCCTCGACCTGCTGGGCTCAGGCGATTCCTCCGCCTCAGCCTTCCAAGTAGCTGGAACTACAAGCATGTGCCACCACGCCCGGCTATTTCTTTTTTTTTTGAGTTGGAGTCTCACTTTGTTGCCCAGACTGGAGTGCAGTGGCACGCTCCTGGCCACCGCAGCCTCGCCCTGCTGGACTCCGGTATTCCTTCTGCCTCAGCCTTCCAAGCAGTCGGAACTACAGGTGTGCGCTACCACACCCAGCTAATTTTTGATTTATTGTGGAGATGAGGTCTCACCAAGTTGCCCAGGCGGGTCTCAAATCTGCGGGCTCAGGTAATCCACTCACCTTGGCCTCCCAAAGTGCTGGGATTACAGGCTGAGCCACTGAGCCTGGCCTTTTTTATTTTAATTTAAAAAAAAAAAATTTTTTTTTGAGTTGGAGTCTCATTCTGTCACTCAGCCTGGAGGGCAGTGGCATGCTCCCAGCCACCACAACCTCGACCTGCTGGACTCAGGCGATCCTTCTGCCTCAGCCTTCCAAGTAGCTGGAACTATAGGCACACACCACCATGCTAATTTTTTTTGTTGTTTTTTTTATTTATTGTAGAGATGAGGTCTCACCAAGTTGCCCAGGCTGGTCTTGAACCCATGGGCTCAGACAATCCTCTCACTTTGACCTCCCAAAGTGCTGGGATTATAGGCGTGTGCCACCACTCCTGGCCTTGTTTCCTATTTTATATTTTTTAGCTGTGGCTTAATTCTTATAGAAGGGATGTGGACTCAACTAGTGGTCTTGAAGCATCTGAAAAAAATTTAATTTATAATACTTTGAGAGGATAATAAACATTGGGATATATAGGATATATATAACTTTTTGCTTGTTTTCCTTTGCAGCTAGCTTTTACGAGGTTCATGATGCTGTAAACTTTTATAAAACGTACGACAAACAGAAGGGCCTATAGTCCTTTGATTTTCTTTCTTGTGAAAGTCTTGCACAGTCTTTCAGAAGCACCTCCATTCTTTCTTGCTCGGGCTTTACCCTCTTTTCTTTTGGCAATCTTCTACCTGTCTATGCATGAGTCCAAGGGCCTGGAAGAGAGCGTGCTGTCTCTTCGCCCTGCTCTGTGACGATGGCTCCGTCTCATATTTTTCTTCAGTTGCGCTGACTGCTGAGCTATCCGTCATTGGGAGGAGCCGTGTCCTGTCAGTGGGATTTCTTGCGAGTTCTTAGGTCCAAGCAGGCACACTGAGTCTGAGAGTCCAGCCACAAGAAGGAGCTGGCAGAATGGAACTGTGAGGACCGGGGGAGCTGGCGGTGCTGACTTCAGCATCCCTGAGTCCTGGCCCTCCCTCTGTCCCAGGAGGAAGAGGAGGTAGAGCGGGAAATCATAAAACAGGAGGAAAGTGTGGATCCTGACTACTGGGAGAAATTGCTGCGCCACCATTATGAGCAGCAGCAGGAAGACCTAGCCCGGAATCTGGGCAAAGGAAAAAGAATCCGTAAACAGGTCAACTACAATGATGGCTCCCAGGAGGACCGAGGTGTGTGTGGCCGGCCCCGCCCCCCACCCACGGGCCGTTCCACTAGAGCAGTGGGCCCCGCTCATCTGCCCTCTCTCCCTCCAGATTGGCAGGACGACCAGTCCGACAACCAGTCCGATTACTCGGTGGCCTCAGAGGAAGGTGATGAGGACTTTGACGAACGGTCAGAAGGTGAGGCTGTGCTCTCCTGTGGCTTTTTGCGGGGCTGAGGTTTCCAGGGCCCCGCCCATTTCTAGTGTCGCTCATTCGTCTTTTCTTCCTGCAGCTCCCCGCAGGCCCAGTCGCAAGGGCCTGCGGAATGATAAAGATAAGCCATTGCCTCCTCTGTTGGCCCGTGTTGGGGGGAACATCGAGGTGAGTGCCGCGGGATTCTGAGTTGGGGATGTGGGTGAGTGCCCGCTCCTGGGTCTGTGGCGGAGTGAGACTTGCCCCCCTCACCTAGCTGCCTTCTCCCCCCAGGTGCTGGGTTTTAATGCTCGTCAGCGAAAAGCCTTTCTTAATGCAATTATGCGATATGGCATGCCACCTCAGGACGCTTTCACCACCCAGTGGCTTGTGCGAGATCTGCGAGGCAAGTCAGAGAAGGAGTTCAAGTAAGTGGGGCTGGAGTGGCCGATCTAGGGCAAGGCTTTGGTCCTTCCTCACCACCGTCCAGGCTGTGCAGGGCATTGCAGAAGCAGGCAGTGATGAGAGTCCTTTGTGCCCTGGCTTCCCTGGAGGAGCAGCTGGGCGTGTGTGGGCCTGGAGGCCAGCTGTCGCTGTGCAGGGTCCTGGGGCTTTTCCCTCAAGGGGGAGCCTTCTCGTTGCCTGCGATCATCCCTCACAGGGACGGGAAAGCGTCAGGCGGATGGGTTGGCGGGGGCCCTGTTTGACCCTTCTCCACTTGTTTACTCCAGGGCATACGTCTCTCTCTTTATGCGGCATTTGTGCGAGCCGGGGGCAGATGGTGCTGAGACCTTCGCTGATGGTGTCCCCCGAGAAGGCCTGTCTCGCCAGCATGTCCTTACCAGGATTGGTGTCATGTCCTTGATTCGCAAGAAGGTGAGCCCCAACCCTCCTGCTGTTAAACGTTTCTAGGGAGACTGCAGGACCCGTAGGAAAGGAGTCTCAGGCTGGAATTGGAGCTTCAGCTTTTTGTCCTGTTGCTACAGGTGCAGGAGTTTGAACACGTTAATGGGCGCTGGAGCATGCCGGAGCTGGCTGAAGTAGAGGAAAACAAGAAGATGTCTCAGCCAGGGTCCCCCTCCCCAAAGACTCCGACACCCTCCACTCCAGGGGACACGCAGCCCAACACTCCTGCCCCGGCCCCACCTGCTGGTGAGTCTGCCTGCCCTGTCGTGTTTGGTCCCTCCTCTTGTCCTGGCCTGTGCTTTTGTGCTCCCCTGTGCTCAGTTCAGCAGGGTGGTCTGGCAGGACACACAGCACTCTCCCTCTCAGTTTAGGAGGGCCATCCTAAGAGTAGGGCTGGCTCTTAAAGGCACGAGAGGACAGTTTCAGACGAGGCCGACTGGAAAGGCCTGACCTTTTCTCTGATCCACGACCTTCTCCCTGATTGATTGTCTCTTATTGGTCTGCAGAAGATGGGATAAAAATAGAGGAAAACAGCCTCAAAGAAGAGGAGAGCACAGAAGGAGAAAAGGAGGTGAAGTCTGCGGTCCCCGAGGTTGCTGTTGAGGTAGGAGATGGGGGTAACTGGCCACCGCACATGGCACAGGGCTGAGCCTACTCTCCCGTTGCTTCATCTTCCGTTTTTTCCTTTGTATTGTCCACAGCCCCCTGCCCCTGCCTCAGAGGATGAAAAGGTCCTTGTCGAAACCCCTGAGGGAGAGGAGAAAGTGGAAAAGGCAGAGGTGAAGGAGAGAGCAGAGGAACCCATGGAGACAGAGCCCAAAGGTATCTATGTTCAAGGACTCCGGATCCCTGTGTGAGCCATAGTTGCTCCTGGGCTCTGCAGGAGGAAGCCACACGTTGAAGGGTCTGGCTTCCCGATTGAGACTGTGGGCTTCCCCCCACCTTCACACATCTCTCCTGACTTTAATTACAGAGACTTAAATGAAGGGCTCTTCCAGCTGGATGCCCTGTAGAACAGAGGAGAACATTCTTTAGGTCTGTTTTCAATGTCATCTGTTCCCCCAGGTGTTGCTGATGTGGAAAAGGTGGAGGAAAAGTCAGCAATCGATCTGACCCCTATTGTGGTAGAGGACAAAGGTGAGCGTTTGGAGAAGCGATTGTGGTTTATAAGGATGCTAAACCCAGAGCCAAGGGCTTTGTCTTCTCTGTCCAGTACCCATGTAGACTTCATCCGTGCCCACATTTAGTTGGCAGTGGGCCGATGACAGCTTTTTCTTGGTCTTAGAGACACTGGGGTGGAGAGAGGGTAGAGAAGGCGGTGTCTTACAGTGTACAGTGCAGTGGGCAAGGGCCATCGTGTCTGGAGCTGACGTCGTTCTTCTGCATGTTCTGTAGAGGAGAAGAAAGAAGAAGAAGAGAAGAAAGAGGTGATGCTTCAGAATGGAGAGACCCCCAAGGACCTGATTGACGAGAAGCAAAAGAAAAACATTAAACAGCGTTTCATGTTCAACATTGCAGATGGTGGTTTTACAGGTATGGAAAAGAGGGGTCTACGGAGATGGGTTTAGGAGGATCTGATGTGAAGTTGGGGTTCTTGTCAGAAACGGGTCAGAGACTTTCTGCTAGGAGAAGGAATGCCAGGCTGCCTGTGTACTCCTCTGGCTTCTGTTTTAGCAAGCCAGAGGCAGTTTATACTAAAATATGGTGTCTGGGGGTGGGGGACAGGAATAAATAGCTTTTTCCGTTTTCACAAATGTTTGCCTTTTCCTTCCCTTCCCACCCTTCCCTAAATTCCGCCTCAGAGCTGCACTCCCTTTGGCAGAATGAGGAGCGGGCAGCCACAGTCACCAAGAAGACTTATGAGATCTGGCATCGACGGCATGACTACTGGCTGCTAGCTGGCATCATAAAGTATCCTTTGCCCAAGTCTAGATTCAGGTTCTTGGCAAAGAGTTCTGAAGATCCTTCAGTCTGAGGTTTTGACTGTCCTTGTTTTGTTTTTCCTGAGCACTTTTCCAACAGCCATGGCTATGCCCGGTGGCAGGACATTCAGAACGACCCACGCTATGCCATCCTCAATGAGCCTTTCAAGGGAGAAATGAACCGTGGCAATTTCTTAGAGATCAAGAATAAATTTTTAGCTCGAAGGTTCAAGGTGAGCAAGATGTGGAGGAGGATGTGTGTTGTGTAGAATGCACGAGTTCCTGCAAACGAAGGCGTGTCTCCATTTAGCCGTACTGTTGTAACTTTCTGTATTCCATGAAATGCTTTGCTCCCAAGCAACTTAACCATTAGGGCTTAAGACACACAAACTTGAAAGCTAACCGACTGTACAGGAGCTATGGGTGACTGTGCCTAAGAATGGCACAGGTTAGTGTGGTGGGTTTGTTGCGAGAACGCTATGGAGCAGAATTCAGGAAAGAGAGAAATGGGATGGAATTGCATCCCAGAGGAGGTAGAGCAGTCAGTGGCAGGCAGTCCTTCTGGGTAAAAAAAGTGCCTGTGTGAGCCGGGCTTGTTGGCTTAGCCTGTAATCCCACGCTTTTGGGCGGTCGAGGTGAGTGGATTGCCTGAGCCCGCGGGTTCAAGACTCACCTGGGCAACTTGGCGAGCCCTCATCTAATAATAAATCAAAAAATAGCCAGGTGTGGTAGCGCGTGCCTGTAGTTCTGGGTACTCGGAAGGCTGAGGCGGAAGGATCGCCGGAGCCCAGCAGGTCGAGGCTGCGGTGGATGGGAGTGGCTGCTGCACTCCAGTCTGGGTGACAGGGTGACTCCAACTCAAAAAAAAAAAAAAAAAAAAAAGTGCCTGTGTGGCTGGGTAGTGGTTTGCATCTGTCATCCCAGCACTTTGGGAGGCCAAGTCGAGAGGATGACCTGAGTCTGCAGGTTCGAGACCAGCCTGGGCAACTTGGCGAGACTGTCTCTACAATAAGTCAAAAGAAAGCCAGGTGTGGTAGCGTGTGCCTGTAGTTCTGGGTACTTGGAAGGCTGAGGCGGAAGGATCGCTGGAGCCCAGTAGGGCGAGACTGCGGCGTCCAGGAGCATGCCACTGCACTGCAGCCTGGGTGACAGAGGGAGACTCCAACTCAAAAACAAAGTGCCCGTGTGAAGAAGGGGTGGGGTGGACGCAGGGAGGAGGTGCAAAAGTCGAACTCCATCTCCGGAATCTCTAGGGCCCAGCCCACTGGAGGGAGTCTCGTTCTGAAATTCAGATGTTTATTGGAGGCAACTTGTGTGCAGATCATCAAGTGGGTTATCACGAAGACAAGACTGTGGATCTCTTAAGCCGAGCATAACCCTGTTATTACTGGGCATGACTGGCCCAGGGGTAGATCGGCGAGGCCTGGTACCTGTTCTCCAGGGGCTTCTGGTTTCAGGTAGAACAAGCGTGTAGTCAAATGAATGCTGTGTGTCAGGGGCAGACTGCTGGGTGGTACAAGAAAGTTCCCCAGAGGGAATTGGGGGAACAGGGAAGGAGCTCACAAATGGCTTTGGGGAAAAGATGGCATTGGAGATAAGTTTTGATGAATGTGATAGAGATTATTAGATAGAAACAGAAGAGTGAACCAAAGGTTTAGGTGGGGGAGAAACATCTAGGTAGCAAAGTTTAGGATGTTTGGGAGAAGAAAGTAGCCTTGCCACACGTGGTGGCTCATGCCTATAACCCCAGCACTTTGGGAAGTGAAGGTGAGAGGATTGCCTGAGCCCGTGGGTTTGAGACCAGCTTGGGCAACATGATAAGACCCCGTCTCTACAATAAATAAAAACAGCCAGGTGAGGCAGTGCATGCCTGTGGATCCAGCTAGTTGGAAAGCTGAGGTGGAAGGATCACCTGAGCCCAGCAGGTGGAGGCTGTAGTGATTATGAGCATGCCACTGCACTCTGACTCAAAAAAAAAAAAAAAAAACTAGCCTAGTTGAGCTGTCGAAAACATTTGTGATGGGGAATGGTGGGAGGTAGGTTGGGAAGAGAGAGGTAAGGTCTAGAGGTGTCAGTAGGTGGGTTCTTGGCGCCAGATAAGAGAATGTGTACTTGACCCTGTGGCTGATGGGCAGGCATTGGAGGTCTGTGAGGCGTTTTGGTAGTTCCAAGGGAAATGGAAACAGCATCTTGAGATTGTAGAGCCATCGTATGGTCAGGAGGTACTAAGGGCCTGGGCCATGATGCTGGTTGTGGAAAATGCGAAGGATAAATAAGTAAAAACAACAGCATGTATAGGACTTATTGATTGGTTGTAGAGGTCAGCAAACCTTTTCTATTAAATGATCAGATAGGCTCCAGGCTTTGTGGGACATATGGTCATTGTTGCAAGCATGTAACTGTCGTGTGAAAGCAGCCATAGGTGACACATAAACGAGTAAGTCTGGGTGTGTTCCAATAAAATTTCATTTATATACACTAAAATTTGAGTTTCATTTACTTTTCACGAAGTGAATGAAATAGTCTTGTTTTGACTTTTCCCCAACTGTTTAAAAAAGTAAAACCAGTTTGTGACCTGCCTAGGCAACTTGGCAAGACCTCATCTCTACAATAAATCAAAAACTTAGCTGGGCATGGTAGTGCATGCCTGTAGTTCCAGCTACTTGGAAGGCTGAGGCGGAAGGATTGCTGGAGCCCAGCAGGTCGAGGCTGCGGTGGCCGGGAGTGGCCACTGCACTCCAGTCTGGGCGATGGAGTGAGACTCCAACTCAAAAAAAATGTAAAACCAGGCTGGGTGTGGTGACTCACGCCTATAATCCCAGCAAGTTAGGAGGCTGAGGTGAGAGGATTACCTCAGCCCACAGGTTTGAGACCAGCCTGGGCAACTTGGCGAGCCCTCATCTCTACAATTAATTTAAAAAAATTAGCTGGGCATGGTGGCATATGCTTGTAGTTCCAGCTACTTGGAAGGCTGAGGCAGAAGGATCGTCTGAGCCCAGCAGGTCAAGGCTGCGGTGATCGTACCACTGCACTCCAGCCTGGGTGACAGAGTGAGATTCTCAAAAAAAAAAAACAAAAAAAAAACCAGGCCAGGCATGGTGGCTCGTGTCTGTAATTCCAGCACTTTGTGAGGCCAAGGTGGGAATAGCTTGAGCCCATGGGATAGAGACCAGCCTGGGCAACATAGCAAGACCTTGTTGCCAAGTGTGGTGGCATATACCTGTAGTCACAGCTGCTGAAGAGGCTGAGGCAGGAGAATCACTTGAGCCCAGGAAGTTGAGACTGCAGTGAGCCATGATTGTGTCACTGCACTCCAGCCTTGGCAACAGAGCAAAACCGACTCAAAATATTTTTCAACACTGGCCAGTCACAGGGGCTTACACCTGTAATCCCAGCAATTTGGGAGGCTGAGGTGGGGAGGATTGCTTGAACCCAGGGTTTGAGACCAGCCTGAAAAAAAAAAAAATGCTGGGCATATTGGCACACACCTATATAGTAAGTCCCCTGCATGCAAACATTCAAGATGCGGTCTTTTTTTTTTTTTTTAAATTTGAGTCAGAGTTTCATTCTGTCGCCCAGAGTGGAGTGCACTGGCAAGCTCCCGGTCACCACAGCCTTGACTTGCTGTGCTCAGGCGATTCTGCTGCCTCTGCCTTCCAAGTAGCTGGACATACAGGTATGGGCAACCATGCCTGACTAATATTTTGATTTGTTGTAGAAATGAGCTCTCGCCATATTGCCCAGGCTGGTCTCGAACCCGTGGGCTCAGGCAGTCCTCTTGCCTCCGCCTCCCAAAGGGCTGGGTTTACAGGTATGTACCAGTACACCCAGCTAGATGTACGTTCAAAGATGTGAATGTGTGTTCACACGTCTCAAGCATATAAGCTCATGTGTCTGGCATACGTTGTCACCTGTATGCATCCTCTACAAGTGGTTGTGCTTTTTGTGTACTGTGCAGTACTTTATAGAGTACAGTAGTGCAGTGTTTTTATTTCAAGCCCAGGATGTCTGGAAGGAAGCATAAAACCAGTGGTGGCTGGGCGCGGTGGCTCAAGCCTGTAATCCCAGCACTTTGGGGGGGCCAAAGTAAGAGGATTGCCTGAGCCGCAGGTTCAAGACCAGCCTGGGCACATGGTGAGACTTCGTCTCTACAGTAAATCAGAAAATTAGCCGGGTGTGGTAGCGCGTACCTGTTGTTCCGGCTCCTTGGAAGGCTGAGGTGGAAGGATCGCCTAAGCCCAGCAGGTCGAGGCTGCAGGGGCTATGAGCGGCTATGAGCATGCCACTGCACTTCAGTCTGGGTGGCAAGAATGAGACTCCAACTCAAAAAAAAGAGATACGAAAAAGTAAATAGAGGTCAGCTCAGTGGCTCAGCCTGTCATCCGAGCACTTTGGGAGGCTGAGGAGAGTGGATTGCCTGAGACTGCAGGTTCGAGACCAGCCTGGACAACCTGGTGAGACCTCGCCTCTGCAATAAATCACAAAAAAACTAGTCAGGCATGGTAGCACGCACCTGTAGTTCCGGCTACTTGGAAGGATTGCCGGAGCCCAGGAGGTCGACACTGGGGTGGCCATGAGCGTGCTGTTGCACTCCAGTCTGTGCAGTACTACTGTCAGCATCACTCCAGCCAGTGATGCTGACAGTAATGCTGAAGAAGCGCAGAAAAGTGATGGAGATGGAGAGACTTCTGTGTGTGGCTGCAGGATCAGCAACAACGCCGAGACCCACTCAGATAAAATGTTGGTTCGAACGAAAGCTAAAAAAAGCCTTTATGGAGACTTCAGAAGAAACATGGCGAAGGATCAGATGGCGCATCTTGTAATACCAGCCGTGGCTGGTTTCATCGGTTCAAGGCTGGAGCCTACCATCACAATGTAAAAGTAAGTGGCTGGGCTGCAAGTACAGAGACGGTAGCTGCCCGGGAATTTCCCTAAACCCTTCAAGAAATGATTGATGAAGGCACGTGTTTGCCCGAGCAGGTTTCCAGTGTGGGTGAGACAGGACTCTACTGGAAGAGGATGCCAGACCGAAGTTATGTCAGTGAGGGGGAAAAGTTGATACTGGGCTATAAAGGCAGCCAAGCATAGGCTGACTCTGTTGCCTGGTGGCAGTGTTTCCCGCAACATGAAGCTGGAGCCTCGCTTAGTCTGTCTCAGAGAAACCCAGAACCCTTGAACACATAGGCAAGGGCTCTTCCTGTTGTGTGGAAGAGTAACCCAAAGCCTGGATTACACAGGCCGTTTCCCAGGACTGGTTTTCCACCACTTTATCCTGCAGGTAGAGAAACACTACTTGGAGAAGGGTGTCGCATTTGGCATTCTTTTCCTGATCAGCAGTGCTCTGGGCCACCTCCTGGTCATGGATGACTTTTCTCCTCGTGCCAAAGTAGTGTATCTCTATCAAGCACTACGTTGTTCATCTAACCTGCGGACAGGGAAGTCACAGCGACTCTCAAGTCAAGTGACTTTCCCGTCACACTTTTTGTCAGGCAGGAGAGGTGAGTGATAAGTCAGGAACAACAAAACCGCGACAACCTTGGAGGACTCGAACATCTACAAGACCATAAAAACGCTGCCTTTGCTTGGCATGAGGATACGGCTGTCTCGTGAGTGGGGTTTGGAAGAACCTTCGCCTGCAGTTTGCTCATGTTTCTTGTGGACATGAGGTGGCGGGCGAGGAGCCCAAAGAGGTCTTGAGCAACTTGGTGACTCTCCGAGAGAGGCTGGAGCTCAATCTGCAGGACGACGACTTCACTGAACTCTCGGCTGGGCCCCACGAGAAGCTCACCCCTGAAGACCATGAGGTGGGACTGGAGACCAGCAGGGAGGACGGAGAGAGACAAGAGGATGGAGAAGCAATTGAGGAACCGGAGAGGGTCTCGACGCAGGAAATGGCAAGGGGGTTTCCTTGTCTTTGAGGGGCCCTGCTAGTTTCTGAGACGTAGGACCCGAACATAGAATGGCACACAAAGCTTGCAGCAGCCATTCAGATTGCAGTCCAGTGCAACCGTGTCATCCGTGACAAGGAAAAAAGAGCTACTTACCAGACATCACTGGACCGTTTTTTCAAGAGGGTGGATAGAATTGAATCTAGCAAGGAACCAGAACGTGTGCCATCAGCCTCAGGCATGAGTGAAGTTGCAGCTTGCAGTTCTTCTTGCAAAGCTTCCTCCATCCCCTATTGCTGACGATCCCTCAGCTCTGCTGTCTCCTACCTCCTCTCTTTCCTCCAGTCGGTAACTCCTCCTACCTGTCCACTCCATGTCAGCCACTGTATGCCAGCTGTTGTACTGCACTGTATCACTGTGCTTTTCAAGGTACTGTAAGGTGAAAAGTGTTTCCTTTTTGTGCTTTTATGTATTTGTGTGAAAAGTATTATAAACCTATTACAGTACAGTACTGTATAGCTAATTGTGTTAGTTGGGTACCTAGGCTAACTTTGTTGGACTTAAGGAACAAATTAGACTTACAGATGTGCTCTTGGAACGGAACCGGTTTGTATGCTGTAGACTTACTGTGGTCTCAGCTACTTGGGAGGCCGAGGTGGGAGGATCGCCTGAGTCTAGGAGGTTGAGGCTGTGGCAAGCCATGATGATACCACTGCACTCCAGCTTGGGTGACAGGCTGAGCCCCTGACTCAAAAAAATTAAGAAAGGCCAGGTGCAGTGGCTCATGCCTGTAATCACAGCACTTTGGGAGGTGGAAGCGAAAGGATTACCTGAGCCTAGGGGTTCAAGACCAGCTTGGGCAACTTGGTGAGCCCTCATCTCTACAATAAATAAAATCAGCCAGATGTGATGCACATGCCTGTAGTTCCAGCTACTTGGAAGGCTGAGGTGGAAGGATCACCTGATTCCAGCAAGTTGAGGCTGTGGTGGCTGTAAGCATGCCACTGCATTCCAGCCTGGGTGACAGAGTGGGACTCCCAACTCCAAAAAATTAAAATTAAAAAACCCATTCTTTGCTCTTCAGCTATATAAAAACAGGTTTTTGTTTGTTTGTTTTATTTTGTTTTTTTGAGTTGGGAGTCTCACTCGGTCACCCAGACTGGAGTGCAGTGGCTGCTCCTAGCCACCGCAGCCTTGCCTGCTGGGCTCCAGCGATCCTTCCGCCTCAGCCTTCCAAGTAGCTGGAATTACAGGCGCGCACTACCACGCCCGGCTAATTTGTTTTGATTTATTGTAGAGATGAGGTCCCGCCAAGTTGCCCAGGCGGGTCTCGAACCCGTGGGCTCAGGCAATCCACTCACCTCAGCCTCCCAAAGGTGCGAGATTACAGGCTGAGCCACTGAGCCCGGCTAAAAACAGGTTTGACCCATAGGTCATAGTCTGCCAACTCCTGACTTTTAATGGATTTGAGGTACGAAGAAGTGAGATCCCAAAAATAACAGCCTGAGTCACTGAGAAAGTTAAGGGATCATTTAAGAGGAGAAGGAGCAGTTTGTAGAAAGAATGGTAAGTTCCATTTCAGACAAGTTGTCTGGTGTTTCTCACAAGCCAGCAACCCCATTTCCCTCCCCCCACCACATACCAGGCAGAACCAGTACCAGATCTGCGTGACTGTGAAGCATCAGGTCATCTGCATAAAAGTGCTGGCTGACACTAGGAGCGAAGTCTGTTGGGTCAAGGGCTAACCCTGGGAATGCTCATAGTTCAGGGCAGGAAGGAGAGACACTCAGTCTGTTTGGAGCTAGATTAGGCCCTCACGGAGCCAGGTGTCATTAAGGAAACCACCGCCCATTCTCATGCAGTCCTTTTTCCTGGTCCTTGATGGGCTCGCCATTTACATACCAGTGGATACTTGGGGCAGATTAAGTCTTTTCATAACTTAAGAGTCAACATTCTGCCTCTTGGTATTTTGAAGAGCCTTTAACACAGCTGTCAGGTGACATGTGCAAGAGTGTCACTTGCAGTATGGTTTTTGGTGGCGGGGTCAGGAGGCAACCTAAATGTTCAGCATTGGGAGAATGAATGGATGGGGAAAATGTACACTCGTATCACGGAGCATTAAGCGGCAGAAGCAACAAAAACATATGCATATAGCAAACATGGTGGTCTAAAAAGGTAGGTCATAGGAGAAGTCAGAAAAAGCTTATGTTCAGAAAACATGATCCTGTAAATCAGAAGTGTGCCTATGAAACAAGAACACAGTCTTCAGTATGCAAAAAGGAGAGTAAGTACATCAGAAAGGTTGGTTTTGGGGAGGAAGGAATGGGAGTGAGGGTGGAGATAAAAGGAAATAAACAAGAACATTTTCAAATGGTAAAATAATCCAAATGATACGTGGTGGGTATATCCATAGGATAGCCTGCCATGCAACCATTAAAAAATGTTTTTGTGTCAGGCTCGGTGGCTCAGCCTGTAGTCCCGAGCTTTGGGAGGCTGAGATGAGTGGACTGCCTGAGCCCGTGAGTTCGAGACTCGCCTGGGCAACTTGGTTAGCCGGGTGTGGTAGCGCGTGCCTGTAGTTCCAGCTATTGGAAGGCTGAGGCAGGAGGATCACTGGAGCCCAGCAGGTCGAGGCTGCGGTGGCCAGGAGCGGCCCCTGCACTCCAGTCTGGGTGACAGAGTGAGACTCCAACTCAAAAGAGAAAAAGTTTTCAAGGAGTAAATGATGAAGATGCTGTACAATGTAACTTTAAATGAGAATATAATATGGGCATGTATATAGTATGATCTCAATTATGTAAACAAATCTATGCATAGAAAAAGCCCAAAAGAAAACTATCAGAATATTAGTAGTATTTTTCTTTTTCTTTTTAAAATCTTTCTTACTTATCTTAAAATTAAATTTCAGGTCCAGATATCCACATAGTCTTTCCTACTTTTTTTTTTGAGTTGGAGTCTCACTCTGTCACCCAGACTGGAGTGAAGTGGCCGCTCCCGGCCACCGCAGCCTCGACCTGCTGGGCTCTGGCGATCCTTTCGCCTCAGCCTTCCGAGTAGCTGGAATTACAGGCATGCGCTACCATCGCCCAGCTGATTTTTTGGTTTATTGTAGAGATGAGGTCTCGCTGCCCAGGCGGGTCTCGAACCCACGGGCTCAGGCAATCCACTCACCTCAGCCTCCCAAAGGCACGGGATTACAGGCTGAGCCACGGAGCCCGGCTGGTCTTTCCTACTTCTGACAACTTGTTAACAGTGTTTCTAGGAGATGGGGTTATTTGGGTTTTGAATTCTTCATCCATTCTGTGTTTTCTAAATGAAGTTACCATTTTTGTATAAGCGGGAACCTAAAGGGTAAAAATCTAAAAAACACGGATAATGAAAGGGGAAGGGAAAAAAACAATGCAGCGCTGAGCTGACTGGGTGTGGGGAACGAGCTGTTCGTGAAGTTCTTTCTGGGTTCTGGTTGCCATCAGGAGGAGCAGGGAGGGGTGAGCCAAGAGGCCCATCAGAAGTGAGTGGAATGTCAGTCCGGCTCCTGTCTCCTCTTTATCCCTTATCCAGCTCTTAGAACAAGCCCTGGTGATTGAGGAACAGCTGCGCCGGGCGGCTTACCTGAACATGTCAGAGGACCCTTCTCACCCTTCCATGGCACTGAACACCCGCTTTGCCGAGGTGGAATGTTTGGCAGAAAGTCATCAGCACCTGTCTAAGGAGTCAATGGCAGGAAACAAGCCTGCCAACGCAGTCCTGCACAAAGGTAGCCAGTGGCTCCCCTGCCTCCTGCTGGTTCAGCCTCCTTCCTACTCTAACTCAGTGGTCATATATTGGTTTCCTTTGGGAGCTTACGATGTGCTAGGCATCCTTGGCATCTTCCTTGGGAAGCTAGTACCTTCGAGGCAATCGAGGACTGTAGTTCTTTGCCCTTCTTCATTTTTTTTTTTTTTTTTTTTTTGAGTTGGAGTCTCACTCTTGCCCAGGCTGGAGTGCAGTGGCACGTTCACGGTCACTGCAGCCTTGACCTGCTGGGCTCAGGTGATCCTTCTGCCTCAGCCTTCCAAGTAGCTGGCACTACAGGCCTGTACCACCATGCCTGGCTAATTTTTAAAATTTTATTTATTGTAGAGACGAGATCTTGCCAAATTGTCCAGGCTGGTCTCAAATCCCTGGACTCAGGCAGTCATCTTGCCTCTGCCTTCCAAAGTGCTGGGACTACAGACATGAGCCACTCTGACTGGCTGGACCGTTTTCAACATTCTATTTCTTTTTTTTTTTTTTTTTTTTTTGAGTTGGAGTCTCACTCTGTCGCCCAGACTGGAGTGCAGTGGCCGCTTCCGGCCACCGCAGCCTCGACCTGCTGGGCTCCGGAGATCCTTCCGCCTCAGTCTTCCGAGTAGCCAGAATTACAGGCATATGCTACCATGCCCAGCTGATTTTCTTTTTTTTTTTTTTTTAATTTATCGTAGAGATGAGGTCTCGCTGCCCAGGCGGGTCTCGAAAACCCGCGGGCTCAAGCAATCCACTCACCTCAGCCTCCCAAAGGCGCGGGATTACAGGCTGAGCCACCGAGCCCGGCTAAACATTTTGTTTCTAATTAAAGTGAAACGTTGTGAGCAAGTGGAGGAGGAGATGAGGAAAAGAATGCTGTTATAAAGGAATTGGGAAACCAATTCCAAAGCAGAGAGGTAAAGTAAGAGGCTGGGTGCAGTTGTTCACACCTATAGTCTTTACACTTTGAGATGCTGAGGCGGGAGTATTGCTTGAGGCCAGGCGTTCGAGACTAGCTTGGGCAACATAGTGAGACCCTGTCTCTACAAAAAAATTTTTAAAACTAGCCAGGTGTGGCATTGGTGGCCTGTAGTCCCACCTGCTCAGGAGGCAAGAAGATTGCTGGAACCCAGGAGTGGGAAGCTGTAATGAGCTGTGATCACACCACTGCACTCCACCCTGAGCCACAGAGCAAGACCCTATCTCTTAAAAAAAAAAAAAAGGCTGGTGTGGTGGCTTATGCCTGTAATCCCAGCACTTTGGGAGACAGAGGCTAGAGGATTGCCTGAGCCCGGGGTTTCCAGACCAGCCTGGGCAACTTGGTGACACCTCATCTCTACAATAAACCAAAAAAAATTTAGCCTGGCATGGTGATGCGTGCCTGTAGTTCCAGCTGCTTGGGAGGCTGAGGCGGAAGGATCACCTGAGCCCAGCAGGTCGAGGCTGTGATGGCCATAAGCATGCCACTGCACTCCAGCCTGGTCGACAGAGTGAGACTCCAACTCAAAAAAAAAAAAGGAACAATAGGAGTACGCTTTTGAGATGAGAGGAGTTACAATAGAGAGCAAGGGATGATGAAGGCGAGGTGACTTTCAAAAGCACAGAGCTGTGGACAATTGGAACCAAAATGAGAAACAGAAATTTGAGCATGGGCTGGGCTCAGTGGCTCAGCCTGTCATTCCAGCACTCTGGGACGATGAGTGGATGGCCTGAGCCCACCGGGTTGAGGCCAGCTCGGGCAACTTGGCGAGACATTGTGTCTGTAATAAATCAAAAATTAGCTGGGTGTGGTAGTACATGCCTGTAGTTCTGACTACTTGGAAGGCTGAGGCAGAGGGATCGCTGGAGCCCAGCAGGTCGACGCTGGGTGGCTGTGAGCGTGCCACAGCGCTTCAGCCTGGGTACCCAAGTGAGACTCCAATGCAAAAAAAAAAAGTTTGAGCATGGAGGCCTGGTGTCAGCTCAGTGTCAAATGACAACACATCAGCCACTGCGGAGTGCTAAGGTCCACTAGGATAGAAAGAGTTAAGTCTTTTGTTTGTTTGCCTCAAATGATTCATAGGATCTCTAGGAAGGAGCACTGTCTTGACCTCCACAGCTCACCCCCTCCTTTTCTCCCCGTGCAGTTCTGAAACAGCTGGAAGAACTGCTAAGTGACATGAAAGCGGACGTGACCCGGCTGCCAGCTACCATTGCCCGAATTCCCCCCGTCGCTGTGAGGCTACAGATGTCAGAGCGCAACATCCTCAGCCGCCTGGCAAACCGGGCCCCCGAACCTACCCCGCAGCAGGTAGGGTCGCGTTTCCTTCCTGCCCACTCTTCTCACAGCTGCCTCCTGGACCTCGCAGCTCTGCTGTGTCCTTAGCTGGACACCCGGGCCGGTCAGCTGTAGTCCATCAGCCCGTCTTCCTTGGGATGCGGTGGCTTCTTGTGGTCTGGAATTGAGACTTCGGTTCTCTCTCCCTACAGGTAGCCCAGCAGCAGTGAAGATGCAGACGGGTGATGCCACCTCCGCCGCTGAGCAGTGACCTTCCTCACTTTCTCTTGTCCCAGCTTCTTCCCTGGGGGCCTGAGAGACCCTCGCCCTCCTGCCCATCTTCCATGTTGTCAAGGAACAGCCCCTGTGCACCGGGGGAGGGGAGGGAGTGAGGGGCAGTGGTGCCCTTTCTGCAGGAGAGACATGCAGCAGTAGCGCCGGCGCCGTCTGCAGGGAGTCGGTGGGCTGGCCTTCTGGACCCTGGCTTCTCCCCACCGTAACATCTGTTACACACAAACTGCTGTGGGTTCCTGCCAGGCGTGAAGAAAGTGATCTGGATTTCTTCCTCCTTTTGGTTTTATTTTGTTGGTTTATTTTGTTTCCTTTTCTCCGTTTTCGGGGGTATTCAGAGTGGGCTGGGCCCCTGGGCGAGACACAGCTACCTCTGTTGGCATCTTTTTAATACCAGGAACCCAGCGGCTCCAGCCACTGAGCGGCTAGAATGAAATAAAGTGAAAAAAAAAAAAGGAAAACCAAAAGCATACAAAACCGCAGCAAATTTCTTGACGAAAATGGAAAATAAAAGTTTCCTTGTATTTTAGCGCTCTGGTTCGGTGTGGGTGTCGGCGGGTGGGTGCGGCAGGAGCCCCTGAACCCGCGTGCCTGGAAACTCGGGCTGCTGCTGCGACGGTCCGCCTGTCGGGCCGTGCGACCTGCTGAAAGGGGAGGCTGCAAGACGGCCGCGAAGACGTGGGGCGAGCTGCTGCACCTGCGGCACTCCGGAGGCCGAGGCGAGAGCATGGCCTGGGCGCGGGGGTGCGAGACTAGCCAGGGCCACCGGCGAGACCCGGTCTCCACGGTACACGGCACTGGCAGGCGTGGTGG